CTAACCTTCTGTTCGAGTTTCTTCATTTGTAAAATAAAGGTTAATGAGGATAGAGGAGTCAATAAACGTAAAGCGCTCAGAAAAAGCCTAGAACATAGGAAGCGTTATACAATGTGTCAGCGCTTCTCCAGCTTCTGAGTCAAGTGGGGAAAGTGGGGCAAATATCCGAATATTTCACACCAAAAATTATCTGATAACCGAAGCCAAATAAAAGTATTATCTAATTATAGTTGATTAAGTCAGCTGTCCTGCTCCATGGCGTGTGTGTGCAGCACTGCCCTTGACTTGGTTGGACAGGTTTTACCTTCGTACTGCTTGCAACCAGTAAGGTTTTCAGAGTATGGTTGCAATGTTCCTTCCATAGCCGCACCCTAATTCAGGTTGTTGTAACCTCTCCCCTGGACTAGAGAAATAGCTTTCCAACTGGTCTTGTAGCTGGTAGCCTCTCCTTCACTTTGCTCCTCACTGTTTTCCTGTCTTCCTCCTGTACGTGGTTTCCAAATTTAGTGTAGTATTTATCATACCTGCTTATGGGTCTGTGTTCCTTAACAAACCGTTGAGTTCCTGGAAGCCAGGAATTTTATTTTAGGTAGGCACTCCTTCTGCTATAATACTATTTCCGAAACTTGGGTAATCTGCACACCACCTACAAAATCTTTGCCAATCTGCACCTAGGTATTATTATTCATTCAGTATTTTTATTTAAAGCCTATTGCAACTCATTAAAAAATTCTGGCTTTATCCTAAACCATAATACTCTGAAATCAAGTTTGTTGTGCTCCTTATTTTTCTTCCAGTACACATTAATTACAAAAAGTTTAAATTTCCATCCATGGACCACCTAAAATCACATCATGTACTGTATACTGCAATGGGGCAGAGCATAACCCTAATACGTAGCATATAGAGTCATTATAACTGTATTTGATTCACACTCTGTCCATTAGCTCAAGCAGTATGTCCTCCAGGAATTGCCTCCCTCAGGCATGGGTTAGATGACCCTTCCCCCAATGCCTTCATACTTCAATTGTAGAGTGGTTTTGTTGTTTCCTTGTTTGTCTCACTATACACTTCAGGACAGGCACTAGGAATTTTATCTTCTAGGTTTTCTATCTCAGTGCCTCCACAGTCACTTATATTTGTTGAATGAATTTTTGGCTTAGTTTGAGCCTGGGACAAAGATTTGGGTGCAGGTATTTTATTGGGAAGTGCTTTTGGGGAACAAAATTGATAGGTCAGGGAGAGTGAGAAAAGAAAGAAGAAATGTTCAATATAATTGTCCATTATTGAGGCCACTGTTTATTCCTCAAGCACCTCTGAAAAACATACAGAATACCTCTCTGGATTATCCATCTTGAAGCTTCGGCATTCATTCACCACTACCATCCTGTATTGGTTGAGGATTTCCCTAGAGCTGTTAACTTTCTACCCTTCTGGATTATATTTGTGCACAGAACGGAACGGGCTTCCTTAACCTGATATAAAAAAGCAGGGTTGGCCAGGCACAGTGGCTCACACCTGTAATACCAGTACTTTGGGAGGCCTAGGCATGTGAATTACCTGAGGTCAGGAGTTTGAGACCAGCCTGCATGGTGAAACCCCGTCTCTGCTAAAAGTACAAAAAAAAAAAAAAATTAGCCAGCGTGGTGGCACAAGCCTGAAATCCCAGCTACTTGGGAGACTGAGGCAGGAGAATTGCTTGAATTTGGGAGTCAGAGGTTGCAGTGAGCCGAGATTGTGCCATTGCACTCTAGACTGGGCAACAAAAGAAAAACTCCATCTCAAAAAAAAAAAAGCAGAGTCTGTAGGTTTCCTTTTAGGGTGAGATATAGGCAGCATAAATCTGAGCCTGCACAGAACTGTCACTACTGCTGTGGCTGAAATCAGAGCAGGGAGGAGCTAGGAATGTGACTCCAGACATCCCACACCTACCTCTGTTACCCAGGCTTTCCTGTTTTATATCCAGCAGACTGACATGGACATTTTACAGAAAGAAAGCAATGACTAGTCAACTCCTAACCTTGGAGATCAGGAATCTTGCTCCCAGTTCTACTTTTACTGATAAATAACTTTAGGTAGACTCTTCAAATTTAAGTAATGAGTAGAAATTGGAGGATAAAAGAAATTTTTTTTTTCTTTGAGACAGAGTTTCACTCTTGTTACCCAGGCTGGAGTGCAATGGCACGATCTCGGCTCACCGCAACCTCCACCTCCTGGGTTCAGGCAATTCTCCTGCCTCAGCCTCCTGAGTAGCTGGGATTACAGGCACGGGCCACCGTGCCCAGCTGAGTTTTTGTATTTTTAGTAGAGATGGGGTTTCACCATGTTGACCAGGATGGTCTCAATCTCTTGACCTCGTGATCCACCCACCTTGGCCTCCCAAAGTGCTGGGATTACAGGCGTGAGCCACCGCGCGGGGCTCGATAAAGAAATTTTTGATTCAGCCTTCAAGTAATGACAACAAAAGTTAAGGCTGGGTGTGGTGACTCATGCCTATAATCACAACACTTTGGGAGGCTGAGGCGGGTGGATAACCTGAGGTCAGGAGTTCAAGACCAGCCTGCTCAATATGGTGAAACCCCATCTCTACGAAAAATACAAAAATTAGCCCAGCGTGGTGGCATGCACCTGTAGTCCCAGCTATTCAGGAGGCTGAAACAGGAAAATTGTTTGAACCTGGGAGGTGGAGGTTGTAGGAAAAAGAAAACAAAACAAAACAAAAAAGAACAACAACAAAAAACAGTTAAATTTGGCACTGGGGTGAAGAGAGGAAAACATTCATGCTGACTACTCTGCAAACAGAAATGAAACTTCTCCTTGTCCTTCCATGGCTCTTAGAGCAGTATTAATTTCGGGAAAAAAATAATGACAACAAAGTGTAAGTTTAATGAAGAAAAAATTGAAATGAAAACAAGAAGCAGCCGGAAAGAAATCTGAAATATCTTTATAAATATCTATGTGGAACTGCCCAGAATGAGAAACAAAGCCAGAGGGAAATATATCTATACGAAAATAGGAAAGTTTAAAGTTAGGAAGATAGGTATAACCCAAAACCTGAATGGTCCCAAAAGGAATTTAGAAGAATCTTTAAAAATACTGGAAAACAGATGAAATACTTTAAATAAATAAAAAGAGAAAATGGACTAACAATGGCATTGAGATACAATGCAGTTCAACAGACACTAACTACAGGTTGTCTTGTGAATGCACAGCACTAGACTTTTGAAGTGGAATAAAGACATGGTTCTTGCCCTCAGCAGACAGGAATAAAAGCGAGACCGTGAGGCTGGCCCCATTGGCTCATGCCTGTGATCCCAGCACTATTGGGAGGCCGAGGCGGCTGGATCACGTGAGGTCAGGTCACACCTGACCAATATGGTGAAACCCCATTGATATAAAAATACAAAAATTAGCGGCGCACAGTGGCACGTGCCTGTAATCACAGCTACTCGGGAGGCTGAGACAGAAGAATTGCTTGAACCCAGAAGCAGGGGTTGCAGTGAGCTGAGATCGCACCACTGCACTGCAGCGTGGGCGACAGAACAAGACTCTGTCTGAAAATAAAAAAAAGTGAGATTGTGAGAGGTTCAATAATTTGCTTAAAGTTGCTTGGAAAGGAAGAGGCTGAATCAATTATTTGGGTACAGGTTTCTCTGGTTCCAAAGTTCTTTCCAGAACTCTTACAGTCCTATGGGACTCGACAGGACTTTCCCAGATGAGACTACACTGAATGTTCACCTAAACAACCAGCCTATAAAGGAAAGGCCACAGGGCTCTGCAGTGGGAAATAATGCATCAATAATTCATCAGGTCCACAGAACATGAGAAATGTATATGCCTGGCTGGGCCCAGTGGCTCATGTCTATAGTCTCAGCACTTTGGGAGGCCAGGATGACAGATCACTTGAGCTAAGGAGTTCAAGACCAGCCTGGGGAAGGTGGCAAAATCCCATTGCTACCTAAAAACAAAAAACATGCAACAACAACAACAAAAACACACAAAAATTAGCTGGACATGGTGCCTTGAGCTTGTGGTCCCAACTACTTGGGAGGCCTATGTGGGAGGGTGGATTGAGATCGGAAGGCAGAGGTTGTAGTGAGCTGAAATCACGCCACTGCAATCCAGCCTGGGTGACAGAGTGAAACCATATCTCAAAATAAAAAATAAAAAGAAAGGAAAATAAATATGTATATACCTAAAGTAGAAATAGTGAGATGTTTACAGAGTTTTAAAATTAGAAACCACGGTAAAAAAGAAAATGCTCAGGCCAGGCACGGTGGCTCATGCCTATAATCCCAGAATTTTGGGAGGCCGAGGTGGGTGGATCACGAGGTCACGAGATCGAGACCATCTTGGTCAATGAGGTGAAACCCTGTCTCTACTAAAAATACAAAAATTAGCTGGGCATGGTGGTGCGTGCCTGTAGTCCCAGCTACTCGGGAGGCTGAGGCAGGAGAATTGCTTGAAACCGGAAGGCGGAGGTTGCGGTGAGCCGAGATCATGCCATTGTACTCCAGTCTGGGTAACAACAGCGAAACTCCGTCTCAAAAAAAAAAGAAGAAGAAGAAGAAAATGCTCATTTAAAAACTGAATTACTGCTATGGTAGAATTCTAACTTAACAAATGTCAGAAGAAATGATAGAATTAGAAAATCAGGCTGGGTGCAGTAGCTCACGCCTGTAATCCTGACACTTTTGGAGGTCAAGATGGGTGGATCACTTGAGGCCAAGAATTCGAGACCAGCCTGGTCAACATGACAAAACCCTGTCTCTACTAAAAATACAAAAATTAGCTGGGCGTGGTGGTACATGTCTGCAATTCCAGCTATTTGGGGGCTGAGACAGGAGAATCACTTGAGCCCAGGAGACTGAGGTTGCAGTGAGCTGAGATCGTGCCATTGCACTTCAACCTGGGGTGACAGAGCAAGACTCTGTATCAGAAAAAAAAATCACCACTTGACAACTGTATAATTGTTTCAAGCAAGAATCACCAATGGATGCCACAATTAAGTAGTGAAAATATTAAGAGAGATGGCGGTGGCGTGCCTGAGGAGAGGGGACGCCGGCCTGGTCAGGCCTCGGTGCGGCCTACACACTTCACTCGCTCGCTCCCGCCTCCCGCCCCGCGCCCAGCCATGGCGGAGCCCTCGTGCGCCCGACGCCCGGTGCCTCTCATCGAGTCGGAGCTATACTGCCTTATCGCCCGGTACCTATCCGCGGGCCCGTGTCGGACAGCGGCCCAGGTGCTGGTGCAGGAGCTGGAGCAGTACCAATTGTTGCCAAAGAGGTCGGACTGGGAGGGCAATGAGCACAACAGGAGCTACGAGGAATTGGTCTTGTCCAATAAGCATGTGGCTCCTGATCATCTGTTGCAAATCTGCCAACGCATGGGTCCTATGTTGGTTAAAGAAATTCCACCCAGTATTTCAAGAGTCACTTCTTTACTTGGTGCAGGAAGGCAATCTTTGCTACATACAGCAAAAGATACCTTCATTTGAAGAAGTGTTCTGCTGTGTATTAATAGCCTAATAATTATTATAATTGTGAAGTAATGTAAGCATTGTAGAAGAAAGGTGATAATGTAACTATAAATCATGCTGTGGACTATAAAATTCTCTGCATTTAGCATAGAACATTGAATTTTATTACATAAGTGTTTAATGGGCCCTTCAGCATTAAAAAGTTGATAAAGATACAGATGTTAAGCTAAAAAGCTTGAATTTATTCTGAGATGTGTTTGAGGTTTTATCAATGTAAGTTCTTTTTTTTTAGACGGAGTTTCGCTCTTGTTACCCAGGCTGGAGTGCAATGGCGCGATCTCGGCTCACCGCAACCTCCGCCTCCTGGGTTCAGGCAATTCTCCTGCCTCAGCCTCCTGAGTAGCTGGGATTACAGGCACGCGCCACCATGCCCAGCGAATTTTTTGTATTTTTAGTAGAGACGGGGTTTCACCATGTAAAATGCAATATGGCTGTTAGTTTGGGGCACCCGAGGCTCAGTAGAGGTTTAGTATGATGCCTTCCTTCTCTTTTCTGAGTTGTGAAGAAACTAATTTCTGGCACAGTGTGACTGCTTAAAACCTATATTCTGTTGCCATCTCCTGTAGAGAAGAGCAGACTTTTTTTTCTTAGTGCATTTGCTGGTAGGTCAAGGAGGGATGGACTTTGAATTAGTGTTCAGACTCACAGATCTTACATATGTGTTCTTCAGTAGAGGATTTTCTATCATCCTAAAACGAAGGGAAAGCTATGTAATTTATCAGTACTTCCTAAAGAGAGAGACTAAAGTCATGGCAGTATTGGCCAAATTAACTTTAAAATTGAACAAGTCGGCCGGGCGCGATGGCTCACGTCTATAATCCCAGCACTTTGGGAGGCCGAGGCGGGTGGATTACGAGGTCAACAGATCGAGACCATCCTGGTCAACAAGGTGAAAACCTGTCTCTACTAAAAATACAAAAATTAGCTGGGCATGGTGGCGCGTGCCTGTAATCCCAGCTACTCAGGAGGCTGAGGCAGGAGAATTGCTTCAACCCAGGAGGCGGAGGTTGCAGTGAGCCGAAATCCTGCCATTGCACTTCAGTCTGGATGACAACAGTGAAACTCCATCTCAAAAAAAAAAAAAAAAAAAAAAACAACTGAACAAGTCATGAGTTTTCCTATAACTCAAATTAAATTTTCCTCATAAAAGCTGCCATTTTTGAAAAGTTGGATCAGTTGTAAGACCTTATCTTTAATATTGTATGATATAATTCTACATTGAAAAATAAACATTTACTTGGCATCAAATGGGAGTTGGAGTCGAAAGATTTGGTTTCATGGTCCATCTTTACCAGTTATTTTCTATGGATCTCTTTAAAGGTCCTGGAACCTTTGAGCCTCAGTTACCTCACTTGTAAATTGGCAAAAATACCTACCTCACAGGGTTGTTGTGAGGATTCAATGAGATTATGTATGTTGAAAGTACTTTGTGAATTGTAAAGTGCTACACAAATGTTAGTTGTTGTTGCTGCTGTATCTGAGATGTCTTAATTTTCTTTTCCTTCAGAAATAGTATATTAGTTGGTAAAATGTTGAATAAACAGTTTATTACAATATATGTAAGTATTCTATAAAATCTTTTTTGGGGTTAAAAAATTGTTAAGAGAAACAGGATATTTACATAAAGTATCTCTCCATAAGATACTAAGGATAGTAGAGTACCTATCATTAGATAGATTACTTACCAGAAACTAGAGACACCACAGAACTCTTCTAGCCTTCTCTGATGTTTGCTTTTCTGTACAACTACTGATTACAGTTTCATTGTTGTGGTTGTTTGTTTTGTAGCCAGGATTACAGGCCCCCACTACCACACCTGGCTTTTGTATTTTTAGTAGAGATAGGGGTTCACCATGTTGGTCACAGTGGTCTCGAACTCCTGACCTTGTGATCTGCCCACCTTGGTCTCCCAAAGTGCTGGGATTACAGGCGTGGAGCCACTGCGCCCAACCAACTACTAATTACAGTTTTACTGCACCAGGCATTAAGTCTCTCCTTAGCTTTCTTGTAGAGTGCTGCCATCAGGTGGTAATAGGTGCCATAATCACTTAGTTCAATTATAAGATACAGATCGCAATGATGAATGTTTTTCCTGATGTTTCTAACACTTTACTTTTAAGCGAACTTGAAAACTCATTGCACAGATACCCCATAGTACACTCCCTTATTTCATGAAGATTTCTGCTCAATATGTCACCCTAATAGCAAGGCCTTCCTGAACTACCTTATATTAACTACCCTGCAACATTTCTTATCCCTTTACTCTGCTCCATTTTAAATCATCCATCTTTTAAACACAATTCTCCCTTCCTGAACTCTTATTTTTATTCACCTCTTATTTGGCTGGATTTCATTATAACGTCTTTTTTTCTCTTCCAGGAAGGGTCCATGAGTGTTGTCTCTCTGGAGTTCTTTTCAGTGCTTGGCAACATCTGCTTGCTGCCTTTTACATGAATAACATCTTGGCTGGCATATCCTACAGGAAAACAGAACCCATTCTAAGTTTTTTCAACAAAAAGATTACAAGTTATTGGAAGAATTAAAGTTGCAAACAGGGAAGGTTTATTTTACTTGTGATCAGGAGCTGCAGAACGTTAATCACCACTGAAGCAGCAGCTGGCGGCCACTGAGAAGGTCAGGCTTTTCTGCTGCTATCACAGTTACCAGAGACAAAAAAGAAACAGCTTTTACCTCTCCTCTATCTCCTAATCCCACACAAGTGCCTCCCACTTGTGAAACCTAATCCAGAACTAAGCTGGCAAGGGAATCCAAACAATGTGGTTCCTTAGCTTCTAGCCCCTGAAATACAGGTATGAGCCGAGAAGTAAAGATAGATATAATTTCAGAATAAGTTGCAGAAATGATGCCCATTTACACCTCAATATTTCATGTGTGTTTCCTGAAAACAAAAAATTCCCTTATATAACACTAGGAAAATGATCAAAATTGGGAAATTAATGCTAATGTCATTCAATCTGATTTGCAGATCTTATTCAGATTTTGTCAATTGCCCTAATAATTTTTTTTCTTTTTTTAGTAAATCTTTTTTTTTTTTTTTTGAGATGGAGTTTTGCTCTTGTTACCCAGGCTGGAGTGCAATGGCGAGATCTCGGCTCACCGCAACATCCGCCTCCTGGGTTCAGGCAATTCTCCTGCCTCAGCCTCCCGAGTAGCTGGGATTACAGGCACGCGCCACCATGCCCAGCGATTTTTTTGTATTTTTAGTAAAGACGGGGTTTCACCATGTTGACCAGGATGGTCTTGATCTCTCGACCTCGTGATCCACCTGCCTCAGCCTCCCAAAGTGCTGAGATTACAGGCTTGAGCCACCGCGCCCGGTCCATCTTTTTTTTTTTTTAAGACAAGGTCTCGCTCTGTCACCCAGGTTGGAGTGCAGTGGCATGGTCACTGCTCACTGCAGTCTTTACCACCCTTGCTCAAGTGATTCTTCTACCTCAGCCTCCCAAATAGCTAGGGCCACAGGCATACACCATCACACCTGGCTAATGTTTTCTTTTTAATTTTTTGTAAAGGGGTCTCACTATGTTGCCCAGGCTCTTCTCAAACTCCTGGCCTCAAGCAATTCTCCTGCCTTGGCCTCCTAAAATGCTGAGTTTATAGGCATGAGCCACCATGGCTGACCTGGAAATATTTTATGTCTTGATATGAGTGGAGTCTTATGTGCATCATCACACTGTGCACTTAGAATTTTACTTATGTTACTTTAAGGAAGTTATATTTCAATTAAAATTTTTTTACATGGAGGAAAATGATCCAGAGAAAAACAATTTGCATAGATTAAAAATAATATGTAAAAGTTAAATTTAACAATATAAAAAGCATTCATTGTTCTATTTCAAAAAAATCAATACAGAAGGAAAATAAAATATTTAAAACCAGAAATATTAGATTTACATATTTTTCTACCCTCCTGATCAATTTAATTATCATCGAAATTGTGAAACCTAATCCAGAACTAAGCTGGAAAGGAAATACAAACAATGTGGTTCCTTAGCTTGTAAATTTCTTCCTTGTAAATTTGAAATAAATTGTTCCAACATTGCTCTGGGCACAATATCTTTGTATCTTTGATAATCTTTACTGTGTCTTCTATTGTCATTGTTCTGTTTATATGTACTGCTTCATTTCTCATTAATTTTGGTGTTTTTTCCTAAAATATTTATTTTAACTAGGTTTTTATCTGGGCAGAGATGGATCTATTATTCTCTGTTCTACCTTGATTAGCTTATCCTTTCCTATATTTTCCAGAGGTGTTTTGCTTGTTTTTGTCTTGGTCACTCTTTTTGAGACAGACTCTGGCTCTGTCAACCAGGCTGGAATGCAGTGGTTGCAACCTCCTCCTCCTGGGTTCAAGTGTTCTCCTGCCTCAGCCTCTGAGTAGCTGGGATTACAGGGAGCCATCATGACACCTGGCTAATTTTTTGTATTTTTAGTAGAGATGGGGTTTCACCATCTTTGCCAGGCTGGTCTGGAACTCCTGACCTCAAGTGATCTGCCCACCTTGACCTCTCAAAGTGCTGGGCCGCCACCTGGCCCACTCATTCTTTATATTTACCAGTTTGGTCATCTTCTATTCTGAAAGTTTCAGAAATATTCACCTACTTTCATTAAACTTGCATTCTAGTTAGGAAAACTATTTGTCAGGAAAATGAAAAGTCCCTGTCCTCTTTTTAAAAAACTGATAATTTTAGAAACTCTTAGAGGGAGATAGGTTTTTTTGTTTTTCTTTTTTTGAGACAGAGTCTTGCTTTGTCGTCCAAGCTGGAGTACAGTGGTACGATCTCAGCTCACTGCATCCTCCCCCTCCCAAGTTCAAGTGATTCTCCTGCCTCAACCTCCTGAGTAGTTGGGACTACAAGAGCCTGCCACCATGCCTGGCTAATTTTTGTATTTTTAGTAGAGACAGGGTTTCAGCATGTTGGCCAGGCTGGTCTCCAACTCCTGACCTCAGGTGATCCCACCCACCTCGGCCTCCCAAAGTGCTGGGATGACAGGCGTGAACCACCATGCCCAGCTGAGGGAGACAGCTTTTAAAGCCTCTGTGGGTTTTAAAGTTTTATTTAAAAATAATTATTTTGGGGTGTTTAAAAAGTGTTTTGTTTAAATTCTAATTCGCCTCACTTTCAGGCAATTGTCTTTGCCTTTGGAGGTTTGTCCTAAGGAATTCACCATTTGTGCCTGCTTGCTCATTTATCTTGGTTTAATTTTATCAAACTAAATTATTACTTGTGGGGATTTTATTTACTATCCTAGTTTTGAATTTTATCAGCCACGAGACAGCTAAGACTCAAGGACCTGTAAAGATAGGTGAAGACAAGAATCTTTTCTTTCTTTCTCCCTCCCTCCCTCCCTCTCTTTCTTCCTTTCCTCCCTCCCTTCCCTTCCCTTCCCTTCTCTTTCCTTCCTTCATTCCCTCCTTCCTTTCTTTTCCCTTTTTTTTTCTTGTGACAGGGTCTGGTTCTCCCCCGCAGGCTAGAGTGCAGTGGCACAATCTTGGCTCACTGCAGCCTCTGTCTTCTGAGTTCAAGTGATTTTCCTGCCTCAGCCTCCCAAGTAGGTGGTACTACAGGTAAGCACCACAATGCCCGGCTAATTTTTGTAGTTTTGGCGAGACAGGGTTTTGCCATATTGAGCATGCTGATCTCAAACTCCTGACCTCAAGTGATTTGCAAGGTATGGAGAGTATCAGGAAAAATAGGTAATGCATGCTGGGTTTAATGCCTAGGTGATAGGTTGATGGGTGTAGTAAATCATCATGGCACACATTTACCTGTGTAACAACTGCACATCCTGCACATGTACCCTGGAACTTAAAAATATTTATATCTATATTATATAGCTATATTGCCTACATATCATATATCTATATTATAGAGACAAGAAACGAGATTTTATTTATATTTATTTTTTTATTTTTTTTGAGACAGAGTTTCACTCTTGTTACTCAGGCTGGAGTGCAATGGTGCGATCTCGGCTCACTGAAACCTCCGCCTCCTAGGTTCAAGCAAATCTCCTGCCTCAGCCTCCTAAGTAGCTGAGACTACAGGTGCGCACCACCATGCCCAGCTAATTTTTGTATTTTTAGTAGAGACGGGGTTTCACCATGTTGACCAGGATGGTCTTGATCTCTTGACCTCGTGATCCACCTGCCTTGGCCTCCCAAAGTGCTGGGATTATAGGCGTGAGCCACCGCGCCTGGCCTATTTATTTATTCTTCTTCAGACAGGATCACTGTAGCCCAGGCTGGAGTGTAGTGGTGCAATCTTGTCTCACTGCAACCTCTGCCTCCCAAGTTCAAATGATTCTCCTGCCTCAGCCTCCCAAGTAGCTGAGATTACAGGTGTGTGCCACCACCCCTGGCTAAGTTTTGTAATTTTAGTAGAGACAGTGTTTCTCCATGTTAGCCAGGCTGGTCTCGAACTCCTGGCTGCAAGCGATCCACCTGCCTTGGCCTCCCAAAATGCTGGGACTATAGGCATGAGTCACTGCGCCTAGTCAAGAATCGAGATTTTTTAAACTAAGAATCCATTGAAACAAAAACAGACAATAGAATCAGCTCTACAGATAAGTAAGATACTGGGCTTAGAAGATAGGCAACCTAAAATAACTATGATTAATATATGCAAGAGAGGAAAAGATGAAGGAAATAAATTAAAAGATAAAGAAGTTCTTTAAACTATTAGCTTCACTGGAAAAGAATACAATATAAATCCTAAAATTGAAAAGGACGATGTTAAAGCATTAATAAATGAGTTTGTACATTGGACATAGAACAAAATAGAATTAGTAAAGAGAGGTTATTAGAAACTATCCAAAATACAACGTGGATAAGAATGAGAACTATGGAACAGAATTAAAAGACAGAAAAAATATCAGGGAAAAAATTCCAAAGGAGTAGGAAGAGACAGAAAAAAATAAAGCAATATCTAAGGAGATACTAGCCAAGAATTTTCCAAAACTGAAAAGATACCAAGCTATAGATTTAGAAAAGCCTAAATGGGATAGGTTTAAAAACACACACACAAAAAACCCCACAACACTCAGCCATATTATATTAAAATAGCTTTAAGGAGTACAGAGAGAAGGAAGAGAAAGATAAAACAGTAAACAGCAAAGAAAAAGACACATTACTTTCAATGAAATTTACAGGTGACTTCTCAGTAGAAGATAATGCAAGCCAGAAGACAATAGAACGCTATTTTTGAAATGCTTTGTAAAAACAAAGAAACAACAACAACAAAAAACCCAAACTGCTGAACTGGTATTCAGTACTCAGTAAACACATCCTTTATAAATTAAGGTGAAACAAAATCTCTCTTTCTCCTGGCTCAGCCTCCAGAGTAGCTGAGATTACAGACGTGCTCTACCGCGCTTGGCATCACCATTTTCCCAAGAGTGGAAAGACATTTTTAAACAAACAAATATCTAGAAAAAAATTCACCTGTGCTTGCCCTACAGTAAACAAACAGGAAAACTGAAGTGAGTTCTTCAGACTAAAGAAAAATGATCCCAAAGAGAAACATGGAAATCCAGGAAGAAAAGAGCAAGACTGAAAAGAGTACGTTTGTGAATGTATATACAAATAACTGTTGACTGCATAAAACAATAATATATATTTTTTAAAAAGGTAAAAAGAAAAAAACTTCCCTGGGATCCTGGAGTTAGGTTTACCTTTCCCGGTCTCTCTCTCGCGAGATCTGGAAACCGGAAGTGAGTTATTTTGCAGGAGTCTACGACAGTTGGCAGCTCTACTTATTAAAGTTGGCGGGAGCTGAGCGGTCAGTCGGGCCTGGGCTGGCTGTGGTGTAGAGCTTGAAGGCAGCGCTCCCCTCCTCTGGCCGGCAGAATGCGGGTGGCTGTGGCCGGCTGCTGCCACGGTGAGCTGGATAAGATCTATGAGACGCTGGCGCTGGCGGAGCAGCGCGGTCCGGGGCCTGTCGACCTCTTGCTGTGCTGCGGCGACTTCCAGGCGGTGCGCAACGAGGCGGATCTACGCTGCATGGCAGTGCCGCCCAAGTACCGCCACATGCAAACCTTCTACAGGTGAGGACGCGGCCCGGGCCGGGACTAGGCTATGCGGGGTGGGACTGTGTTCGATTTCCCTCTTATCACTGGCTGCCTGTTTCCCTTAGATCCTGTCTTTGTTCGCTCTGTGTTTCTAGGACCTGGCGCTTAGGAAATGTCACTTTCCTTCTTTCCATACAACCATCTTATCCATTTCACAGGGGATTGAAGCCTGGGAGGGAACAACCTGGAGGAAGGAGCTGACAGGTTTAGAAGCTACCTTGTACTTGATAGGACTCTGGAATTCATTTAATGATCCAGGAGTTTTTACTGGGCGCCTGCTAAGTGCTTGTTGCGGTTCTAAAAGATGAGGTTATGGCAATGAACTCAATACAGTTCTTGACTTAATTGAAAGTACACTGACCTGAAGCCCAAGGTGGAAGCTCTTCATTCCTAAGGGCAAGGATGGGTACTGGGCACTTCCTTTTGAAAGAGCTTTTTAACTTTTTATGATGACGTCAGTTTTTGGTTTTGTTTTTCGGAAATTATTTGCTTTTCTGCTATGCCTACTTGTGGTAACTGATTTTGCTCTTACGTTCTAGGTATTATTCTGGAGAGAAGAAGGCCCCAGTTCTCACACTTTTCATTGGGGGAAACCATGAAGCCTCAAATCATTTACAAGAGTTACCCTATGGTGGATGGGTAGCACCAAACATTTATTATTTAGGTATGTGTTTGTGGATAATTTTTTTTCCTGGGATGGAAGAGCCTATCAGGATTTGCGTTAGTTGGGTTGTTTCTTGAGATGTATGGTGTTTGGAGAATATCATTAATTTAAATAGTTAATCCTGAAAATGTAAACTATTTAATTATTAAATAGGTGAGCATGAAACCACACCCTTCATCTAGTGTTTTAACCACTAGCTAATATAATTGCAAAGACCTCGCGCACTATTTGTAGTCGCTTCTTTTTTTATCACAGTTTTTATTGAATTAAAAAGAAGACCAGCTCGGCGAGGTGGCTCAACCGTGTAATCCCAGTACTTTGGGAGGCCAGGGCGGGCTGATCACGAGGTCAGGAGTTGGAGACCATCCTGGCCAACGTGGTGAAACCCCATCTCTACTAAAAATACAGAAAATTAGCTGGGCATGGTGGTGTGTAGGGCCTGTAGTCCTAGCTCCTCTGGAAGCTGAGGCAGGAGAATTGCTTGAATCCGGGAGGCAGAGGTTGCAGTGAGCCGAGATCATGCCATTGCACTCCATCCTGATGACAGAGTGAGACTCTGTCTCAAAAAAACAAAAACCAAAAACCAAAAACCTTTTATCCTCTGGATTTCCTATAATCTGCTTTTAGATTGACAGATTTGATTAGATTGTCTCAATATTAGCCCCTATAAACTATATGGCCTTTTCATCTCTTTATTTTTTATTTTTTGAGACAAGGTCTGGTTCTGCTGCCCAGGTTGGAGTGCAGTGGTATGATCTCAGCTCATTGCAACCTCTGCCTTCCAGGCTCAAGCCATCCTCCCACCACAGCCTCCCAAGTAGCTATGGCTACAGACGTGTACCACCATGCCCAGCCAATTTTTTTGTTTTTTGTACTTTTTTTGTGGAGATGGAGTTTGACCATGTTGTCCATGGTCTTGAACTCATAAGCTCAAAGTGATCAGACCATCTGGGCCTCCAAAGTGGTGGGATTACAGGCATGAGCCACCGCACCCAGCCCCATCCCTTTATTTAAATATATATTCTTTCTAGAACTGTTTATAGATTTTGACGAGATCGTAATTTCAGAAATTTAGTTTCCCTACTTTACTACTTATTGATCATCTTTTAATGTATTCATCCTATATTATAATGTGAAAAAGTGAAATTGTCAGAATGTGATCATTCAGAAATGATATTAGAAAGCTGCAGCTTCTTTTTTATTTTTTTTTTTTTGAGACGGAGTTTCGCTGTTGTTACCCAGACTGGAGTGCAATGGCACGATCTTGGCTCACTGCAACCTCCGCCTTCTGAGTTCAAGCAATGCTCCTGCCTCAGCCTCCCGAGTAGCTGGGATTACACGCGCATACCACCATGCCCAGCTAATTTTTGTATCTTTAGTAGAGACGGGGTTTCACCTTGTTGACCAGGATGGTCTTGATCTCTTGACCTCGTGATCCACCTGCCTCGGCCTCCCAAAGTGCTGGGATTATAGGCGTGAGCCACCGCGCCTGGCCTTCTTTTTTCTTTTTTTTTTTTTTTAATTTTTTTCTTTTTTTAAAGACGAAGCTGCAGCTTCTTTATACCTTATGCCTGTTGATTTTCAGGTTTATAACATATAAATCCATCATGGGACATTTCCCTCCTCTCACTACCTCACTCTTGTATTCAGTTAGGTACAAAGTTATGTCTGTTTCACGTTCAGCACACTATCTCATTTGTCCCTTCCAGAATCTGCTTAGTCTTTTGGCTAATCTAATTCCAGACATCTCCTTTATATTTTGTTATATCACTAATATACTGCTGGCATATTATTATATAAAAAAGGTAACCTCGTCTTGGTGCTTAATTTTCAAATAATTTTAGAACTCAGATTCCATTTAAATGGAATGGTTTATTCAGTCAGTGTGAAGAGATGCCTTTTGCCTATAGTGATTTTATTTAACTGTAATGTTTTAGGTTTGGCTGGTGTGGTAAAATACCGAGGTGTAAGGATCGGTGGAATCTCTGGTATTTTTAAATCTCATGACTATCGAAAAGGTATTGTTTTGAGAATTATTTTTAAACTTTAGAACTTGCATGCCCCAGAGTAACTGAAGCATTATATATAGTTTGACTTTTTCATATGTCTTTGTATCCTTGATCTAGTTTTATCAAGTCTTAGTATTTTGCTATTTTTTATTTTGATTTTTTAAGAAATAAAACAGTATATATACAATTAAAGTTCATTGTTTATCTGTCCTCAATCCCATTCCCTTCTTTTCTTCCCTCCTTCTCTTTGCCAGGCAGTCACTGTTTTGAATTTGGTGATTATCAATTACTTGATTATTTTACATCATTAGTACATATATAAGAGCTTTAAACAATGTACCACACAGTATATTTTAAGCTTCATATAAATGTATTATGTTGCTTGTATCTTTCTGCAACTTGCTTCTTTGTTTAACATGTTTTGAAATCTGTGTTGATACATGTAATCTGATCTGTTCATTTGTGAATAATATTCCGTTATATAAGTGTACCACCCTGCTTATTCATTTCATTGTGTCTGAATGAATTATACCTTTATTTTAAAGTTAAAGGAGTAGCTTGGATTCACCTTGATTTCACAAATTTCATGAATTAAGTTGACAGCTGAAACTTACATCCTGAATGTAACTGTTAGAAGTTTGTTCCCTGCCATTTGGCTCTTCATTAGTTTAATCTGTTGGAATGGAGATACAAAACAGGCTGTCTTGTTTGTGGCAGGTGTGAGCACAAATTGGAACCACTCTTGAGAAGATGTTAATTGGGTTTTCTGTTTTATCCCAGGGATATCATTTATGCATATAATACACATATTTCTTTTTTGGCTTAAAACAACAATAATTTGTTATTTTATTAATATTGGGAGCATAAGGAAATAGTCTCCAGTCAACAGTTAGAAAGTAACTGAAGTGTGTCAGCAGCCATGTTTGGGACCTTAGGAAGCAGATTCGCCCCTAGTTGAGCCTGCACAGGGGATGGCAGTCCACCATCTTTTAAAAGCATTTTCCTAGATAACTTTTTAAAATCACATATATTGAAGGTGTACATGATATTTTGGAGAGCTGTGTATATGTCTTTGTATTTGCAGTATTTAAAATAATTGAATATAGCTTATTTTTCTTCTTCAATCAAAGGTCATTTTGAATGCCCCCCTTATAATTCATCTACAGTCAGGAGTATATATCATGTGAGAAATATTGAAGTCTATAAATTAAAACAGGTATGTAAAAAGTGCATTACAGCAGACTTGAAAAAATTTTAAAGTAATTCTGTACAAAAATGTATTTTGGTCATATTGGTATAGTACTTCCAAGAAGAGCAATTCAGCATTTAAAAAATTCAGCATTTTAAAAATGTGGATCTCGAGTTTTTAGGAGGTTCACAGATGAATATATACATATATATATATATATATATATATATTTTTTTTTTTTTTTTTTCTTTTTTTGAGATGGAATCTCACTCTGTCCCCCAGGCTGGAGCACAGTAGTGCAATTTTGGCTCACTTAACCTCCGCCTCCAGGGTTCAAGCGATTCTTCTGTTTCAGCCTTCTGAGAAGCTGGGACTACAGGCGCCTGACACCACACTGGCTAATTTTTGTATTTTTAGTAGAGATGAGGTTTCACCATGTTGGCCAGGCTTATCTCAAACTCCTGACCTCAGGTGATCCGCCTGCGTTGGCCTCCCAAAGTGCTGCGATTACAGGCATGAGCCACTGTGCCTGGCAATGTTTTTTTACTTCAATAATTATGAGTTTATTTTAGTAAGAATGAAACATTTAATTCATGATTTCAAATATTATTACTTAGGGTAAGGCTAAAGAATACCTATTAAAATAAAGTGATATTTAAAAGAAAAAAAGTGATATTTTAAAGAAAATATTATAATAAACATTTTATTTTATATAATAATAATTAAGTAATGGTGTTAAATAGAAAATACATAATAGTAAAGATGATAGAGGAAATGGGAAAATTGTAAAGGTGATATGGAAACACTGCTTAATTGCAGAGTAGGTGAAACTTAAGTTTTTGTTTGAGAGCCCACTACATTGCTGACACTGGGCTAAGCAAACTTCACACTTGGTATTTCAGATAATCTCCACTCAAACCCTATGAGATGGGTCTTACTCTTAATTTCATTCTTTTAAGAATGAGAAGCCAAGGCTCAGACAGGTAAATAACCTGCCCAGGACTTCCCGAAGTTTAGTGATAGAGTCTGCCTGACTGCACTTATGTCCCTCACACTGTCTCTAGAACCTCTGCAGGAACCTACGGATGTTTGCAAGTGTTTACTTTATGCCCTGTGCATACAGTCCTTTGAATAGATTTTCTCTTTCACCTATCTAAATCTTACCAGTCCTTTAAGACCCAACTTAGATGCCATTTCCAAACCATGACTTTTCTTCCTTTTTTTGAGACAAGGTCTCACTCTGTCACCTTGGCTGGAGTGCAGTGGTGTGATCATGGCTTGGCTCACTGAAGCCTCAATCTGCCAGGCTTGGGTGATATTCCCACTTCAGCCTCCCGAGTAGCTTGGACTACAGGCACATATCACCAGCTAATTTTTCTTGAGACAGGGTTTCACCATACTGCCCAGGCTGGAGTCTGGAGTATATTTTGTTTCCTTTAGTTGTTTAACTAAATACTAATGTATGTAGTAAACAGTTTTTTAGTGTAAACTATGTGAGCCTATTAGAATTTTTTTTTCCCTGATAAATCTTTGGGTTTACTGAATCAAATACGTTAGCGGTCATATGAAATCTGGTGTCTCTGGATCTTCAAAACAGTTATTCTTTACCAAAAAGGAAAAGAACTATGGGTATTATATATTTTAGAAACTAAGTGCTAAAGATCTTAGATGATTGGCAGTCTAGAGTGTGTCTCTATTGCCTTGCCACTGAAAATAAGAATGATTTATGAGCAGAGAAAAATGTACCTTCTCTTTGCCTAGATCAATGAGTAGCCTAGTATTTTTATGACTCCCTTAAAGTGTCCTTAGAATGAATTACACAGAATTCTAGAGATCTCAGTGGGTGAATGGTGGTATGGTGGTAGAGAGAAGGGAGGGGATTGTTTTTGTTAATCTGTTTTAAGAGTTTTCTTTCTTTTCTTTTTCTGTTTTGAAAGCTGAGGCAGCCTATAGATATATTCTTGTCTCATGATTGGCCAAGAAGTATATATCATTATGGAAATAAGAAGCAGCTTCTCAAGACTAAATCTTTTTTCCGACAAGAAGTGGAAAATAACACATTAGGAAGTCCAGCTGCCTCAGAGCTTTTAGAGCATCTAAAACCTACTTATTGGTTTTCTGCCCACCTTCATGTGAAGTTTGCCGCCTTGATGCAGCATCAGGTAGAAAACAAAATATTTATTCTTTCATTTAACACACACTGGACATCTATAGACCAGACACAGTTGTAAAGTCAGAGAAAAAAGTGAAAGATAACTTAACTCTTGTGAGTAGCTCAATATGTGATTGAGCTGGGAAAAGACAAGCAATTACAAAATGGTAAATAAGTTTGAGAGAAAACTTAGGCTGTGGGAGCACCTAAGCCATACTGTGGTGGGATGGGAACGTGGGAGATGAAGATAGAGAAGATTTTCAAAAGACAACAGCTGAACTGAGTTTTGAAGTGCCAGGAAGAAATAGACTGTAAGGATATTTTATTTAGAGGGACTGGCATGTGCAGAGGCTAGAGGTCTGAGAGCATGGGGCATTTGGGGACTTGTAGGTAGTTCCTGTGGGTCTGAGGCATAGGGACTGATGTAGCTGGAGCTAGATCATAACTGCCATCTAGGGGCCATGCTCTGGAGTTCAGGTTTTAACCAGAGATGATGGGGAAATTTGGGGAGTGATGAAGTCAGATTTTCACTTTAGAAAGATTCGTTTGACAGCATTGTTGTGCATGGATTGGAGTAATAAAAAAAATGGGATGCAGAGCAGGCTATTTAAGCAAAAGAGAAGGTTTTAACCTAAGACAAAGAGAGAATACACAGAATGAAGCAGATTCTAGAGGGATTTTGGTGACTGAGGGAGGAGAGAATCCAGGATGACCCCCCGCTTCCTTTGCTTAACTGCATGGATGATGTGCTTGATAGAAGGTAGAAAATAAATATATATTTATAATTGGACTTCTATGAAGTATGCATTTCTTCCTTTCACCTCTGATTCGGGCTGAACTCTGACTTTCCCATAAAGTATTCTGTAGGAAAACTGTTTAGAAAATGCTGGGTTACATCTGACAAAGGGCTAAAATCTACAAAGAACTTAAAAAAAATTACAAGAAAAAAATAACCTCATCAAAAAGTGGGCAAAGGATATGCCCTTCTCAAAAGAAGACATTTATGAAGCCAACAAACATGAATAAAAGCTCCCCATCACTGGTCGTTAGAAAAATGCAAATCAAAACCACATTGAGATACCATCTCACTCCAGTTAGAATGGTGATCATTAAAAAAATCAGGAGACAACAGATGCTGCAGAGGATATGGAGAAATAGGTACCCTTTTACAATGTTGGTGGGAGTGTAAATTAGTTCAACCATTGTGAAAGACAGTGTGGTGATTCCTCAAAGATCTAGTACTGGAAATACCATTTCACCCAGCAATCCCATTACTGAGTATATACTGGAAAGATTATAAATAATTTTATTATAAAGACACATGATGTATGTTTATTGTAGCGCTATTCACAATAGCAACGACTTGGAACCAACCCAATGTCTATCAGTGATAGACTGGATAAAGAAAATGTGGCACATACACCATGGAATACTATGCAGCCATAAAAAGGATGAGTTCATGTCCTTTGCAGGGACATGGATGAAGCTGGAAACCATCATTCTCAGCAAAGTGACACAAGAACAGAAAACCAAACACCACATGTTCTCACTGATAAGTGGGTGTTGAACAATGAGAACACAGGAACACAGCTCACACTAAGGCCTGTTGGGAGGTGGGGGGCTAGGGGAGGGATAGCAGTGGGTAGGGGGATTAGGGAGGGATAACATTAGGAGAAATACCGAATGTAGATGACGGGGTGATGGATGCAGCAAACCACCATGGCACGTGTATACATATGTAACAAACCTGCACATTCTGCACATGTACCCCAGAACTTAAAGTATAATAAATAAGAAAGAAAGAAAGAAAAAAGAAAATGCTGGGTTAACAGAGTTACAGATTTCTTCTTGGAGACATCTAGAGAATTTCTGAGTGTCTTTATTGCACTAATGGGCATTGCCTTTCTCAAGAGTAGAATGTGATGCTTCCCAAACGTACTTAACCAAACACTTTTCTGTGTTAGAGGTACACTTCAACAGTGTTCCTCAAACACAGTTTGGAAGCTTTTGTCTGAAAATATTTCTGTAGCCCCTTTCCATTGTGGATTTATTCTTCTCATTTCCTAGTTTCACTGGGAGAAGGAGAGGTTATTCTTTTCATTGTATCTCTGCATTAATGATATGTTTGACCTTTTTAGAATTGGCTCCTCAGCCTCCTCACTTTGCCACTTTCTATTTTAGCCCCTTTACCAACATCAAAGATCACTTTTTCTTGGAACTGCTTTGCTGCCAATATCTGCCTGTAATCTCTATGCCTTCCATTTTTCTTAGTACAGATTGAGCATCTGTAATCTGAAAATCTGAAATATGAAATGCTCTAGAATCTGAAATTTTTGAGCACTCACATGACACACAATTTTCAGATTTTTGGATTAAGGATACTCAACCAGTATGCTGAAAATATTCCAAAATCTGAAATTTAAAACACTTCTGGTCCCAGGCATTTCAGATAAGGCATATTCAACTTGTATCTCACCAGAACTGAACTGATGCTTGGTCCTCAGCAGGAGATACCATTGCTTGCTTTCCTGTTTTTTCCTCCATGTGCCTTACTACTTTCAGTAGGTCACTTTTTAACCTTTTCCAAAATGACCTACAAGTTTGTCAATTCCCCCATGTTTCTGTCAATTCACTTTTGGAAAAAAAAATAACTTTATTGGAGTGTAATTTACATACCATTAAAATAACATGTTTTGGCCAGGCGCTGTGGCTCATGCCTATAATCCCAGCACTTTGGGAGGCCAGGACAGGTGGATCACTTGAGGCCAGGAGTTCGAGACCAGCCTGGCCACCATGGCGAAACCCTGCCTCTACTAATAATACAAAAATTAGCTGGGCACGTTGGCATACGTGTTGGCTTGTAACCCCAGCTATTTGGGAGGCTGAGACATGAGAATCACTTGAGCCTGCGAGGCAGAGATTGCAGTGAGCCAGGATCATGCCACTGTATTCCAACCTGGGCAACAGGGTAAGACTGTCTCAAAAAAAAAAAAAAAAAAAAAAAAAAATTAACACATTTTAAGTGAACAATTCAGTGATTTTAAATTTACAGAGTTGTGCCAACATCACATAATCTAGTTTTAGAACATGTCCATCACCCCCAAAGATCCTTTGTGCCTGCTTGTAGGTAATCCTGGTTCTTACCCTCAGCCCCAGGCAGCCACTAACTTGCTTTGTGTTTCTATAGATTTGCTTTTCCTGAACATTATTTAAATGGAATCATAAAATATATAGTCTTTGGCAACTGATTTTTTTCATTTGCTTGATTTTGAGATTCACTCATGTCGTAGCTTATATCAATATTGCATTCCTTTTTATTGCTGAGTAATATAGTTCATTCTGTGGACATATCACATCTATTTTTGGTGTTGTAGCTAAGAAATCTTTGCCTAACCTAGAATTAGAAAGATTTTCTCCTATGGGTTCTTCTAAAAATTGTACAGTTTTAGTTCTGCCAGTTTACTTTTAAGCTCTTTTGTTTATCTTTAATCCTTGGGTTTTATGCTTTGAGTTAACATCATCATCATCATCATCATTAGTTTTTGCTTTGAATTTTGTATGGAAATTGAAGGCCCGAGAAGTTAAGTGCCTTTCTATTATTGTACAAGTGGGTATAGAATTAACTTATTTTGGAAAAGTAACAAGTCATTCCTTTGACACACAACTTAGGGGTATGTGTAATAAAGATTATTTTTGTCCTATTCCGTGTATGAATTACCTGTGATTGTTTTAACATTCTTTCTTAAAATCATGATTAATATTGTCCAGGAAAAGGATAAAGGACAGACAGCCAGAACAACCAAATTTTTAGCCTTGGACAAATGCTTACAGCATAGAGATTTTCTTCAGGTAAATGGAATGAAGTGGTTTTATAATATAGTTGTACTCTTCCAGTGACTTAAAAAAAATTAATTTTCCTTTTGGAATTTTTTTGTGCTCTTTGTAATTTATGTATTCTGAGAATTATTTGGGGGTATTTTAGTTACTAATGTTTTAAAATTAAATGTATTGATTTAAAATTAAATAATTGAAATTAAATTTAAATTATTTTTTATTTTATTAAATTATATTAAAAGTTTTTAGACTATTAAGAATATATATGCATTTCCTAACATTGATTTCATCCTGTAGATATTAGAAATAGAACATGACCCCAGTGCTCCTGATTGCTTGGAATATGATATTGAATGGCTCACTATTCTCAGGGCTACAAATGATCTTATTAATGTGACTGAGCACCTATGGAATATGCCTGAAAATAATGGCCTTCATGCAAGGTAAGTCAGACCTTATTTAGGACCTGCTTTTTCCATTGCATGCCTAATTTTTGTGACTTCCATCTTTATTTTGTTTTATTTTGAAACAGGGTCTAGCTTTGTCATCCAAACTGGAGTGCAGTGGCGTGATCTTGGATCTTGGCTCACTGCATCCTCCGCCTCCTGGGCTAAAGGGATCCTCCCACCCTTGCCCGCAGAGCAGCTGGGACCATAGGCACACACCATCATGCCCAGCTAGTTTTTTGGTCTTTTTGGTAGAGATGGGGCTTTCCCATGTTGCCCAGGCTGGTCTTGAATTACTGTGCTCAAGCAATCTACCTGCCTTAGCCTGCCAAAGTACTGGATTTCAGGCATGAGCCACTGTGTCTGGTCTCCATTTTTATTTTTAATTAGGGGAATTATTGTTGAATGAGTGTCAGAACAATTCAAAGTTTTCAGGTTTTCCATCTAAAGGAGACAAAAAAAAAGGAGACAAAATGTTGAGCATTATCTCAAATAAATGTATGTGAATAAGTGTACATAAAACTATAATATGGTAAATATATAGTCCACACAATAAAATTATTTTGGAGTATTAAAGATGGCGTTCTCTAAGAATTATTTTTATTTCTAAATGGTCCTTGGCTAAATTAACTATAACTTTAAAAAGGGAATCTTGATAGATGGCTTATTTTCATCCTTGCACCTGAAGTCTATAATTAGATTTCATCATTTATTGTTTAGAGCTGATAAAATGTAAAAAGCTATTGTTTTATACTTTTATAGGTGGGATTATAGTGCAACAGAAGAAGCTATGAAAGAAGTATTGGAAAAATTGAATCATGACCTCAAGGTTCCATGTAACTTTAGTGTAACAGCTGCTTGTTATGATCCTAGCAAACCACAGACACAAATGCAGCAGATTCATAGGATCAGTCCTCAGACTACTGAATTTTGTACCCAGCTTGGCATCACAGACATCAATGTTAGACTTCAGAAGTCCAAGGCAGAGCATCACCTGTGTGGTGAAGATGAGGAACAGGATGATGTGGAAAGTAATGACTCTGGAGAAGACCGGAGTGAATATAATACAGACACATCCGCTCTGTCTTCTATTAATCCAGATGAAATAATGTTAGATGAAGAAGATGAAGATAGTATTGTAAGTGCACATAGTGACATGAATACACCATCTGTAGAACCTTCTGATCAAGCTTCTGACTTTTCTGCAAGTTTCTCTGATGTCAGGATCTTGCCAGGCTCTATGATTGTATCTTCTGATGATACAGTGGATTCCACAATTGATAGAGAGGGGAAACCTGGTGGGACTGTGGAGTCAGGAAACGGAGAGGACTTAAGCAAGGTGCCATTGAAGAGGCTGAGTGGTGAACATGAACCTGAACAAAGAAAGAAAATTAAGAGGAGGAATCAAGCCATTTATGCTGCAGTAGATGATGATGATGATGATGATGCAGCTTAAGACAATTTACTTGTTTTGTTTTTGTTTTTGTTTTTTTGAGATGGAGTTTCACTATTGTCACCCAGACTGGAGTACAATGGCACAATCTTGGCTCACTGCAACCTCCGCCTCCTGGGTTCAAGCAATTCTCCTGCCTCAGCCTCCCAAGTAGCTGGACTACAGGCGCATGCCACCACACTTGGCTAATTTTTGTAGTGACAGGGTTTTACCATGTTGGCCAGGCTGGTCTTGAACTCCTGACCTCAGGCAATCCACCTGCCTTGGCTTCCCAAAGTGCTGGGATTACAGGCGTGAGCCTTTGCGCCTGGCTGACAATTTACTTGTCTTAGTATTATATTTAGATACGTGATTTTTGAGACCCTATTTTTACAGATGAATTTTTGACTAAAGACTTAATTTTATAATAATGAAATTACACAAGAGAAGTTTAGTTAGGTATTGACTTTAGGCTTTTATATGTTTCAGATGCAAACATTAAAATTTCATATATTTACTTGACTGGGTATTTTTTTTAAAAGACATACATTCATACAGTATTCACTTCTATTGTTATAATAAACAGTTATTAAACATCTACTTTGTGCCAAGCACTCTGCTATAATATGGGATGATAAAGATGAGTAAGAGGGATTTTTGCCTCTAAGGACTTGCTATCACTGTCAACATTTTGGTGTATACAATATGGCTATATTATATTTTGTTTTACAAAATCAAGTCATTGTATTTATTATTATGTATGCTTTCTTTTCATTTATTATAAATATTTTTCCCAGTCTGCTTTTAATATCTGTCAAATAAAAATTGAAATTGAAGATGATATATAAGATTTCAGGAAATAAACTACTTTAAAACTAAACATTGGTAAATGTAAAGTCTTAAATTTGCTGAGATTAGTATGACCCTGTTGACTTGCATATTGTGTTTTAGCTTTCGCTTTAATTTTCATGTAACTATAGTAACTGTAGGTCATTTTTGGCATGGTTCACCCCATAGTTTTAATTACTAGCAAGGATTAAGTTGCACAGATGCTGCCCCTCATGCTGCGTGATGGATTGCTAATACTAAAGTATTTTTGAAGATCCATGTAGAAGAACTACACCTCTGTGCTATCTGTGGTTAAGATATCTCGGCCAGCTGAAGAGACTGTCACTCTGTACTTTCATCTGAAGTCATGGAATCCAAAGGTTGTTCCAGGATCTTGCCATTCCCATGGCAGTCCAAATACAGGAGTAAATCTAGGGGAATAATCAAGCACTTGGCTTCTATCTTGTCAACATTTGACTTGATAAAGGTCTAGGATTTGGGGAATTTTATCTTTATTTCCTCCCATTTTTTGGTTTACTTTCTTTTTTGAGTTGGATATTTATTTAATTCGCGTATTTATTTATTTATTTATTTTGAGACAAGGTCTCACTCTAGTGCAGTGGTGCAGTCTTGGCCCATCACTACAACCTCCACCTCCTGGGTTCAAGGCAATTCTGGTGCCTCAAGGTGAATCTCATGCCTCACCCTCCCAAGGAGCTAGGACTACAGGTGCCAGCCACCACACCCAGGAAATTTTTGTATTTTTAGTAGAAATGGGGTTTTGCCATATTGGCCAGGCTGGTCTTGAACTCTTGGCCTCAAGTGATCCACCTGCCTTGGCCTCTCAAAGTGCTGGGACAACAGGCATGAGCCACAGAGCCTGGCCCACTTATTTTATTTATTTAGTTTTTTTGAGACAGTCTTACTGTCACCAAAGCTGGAGTGCAGTGGTGCGATCTTGGCTCACTGCAACCTTTGCCTCCCAGGTTCAAGCAATTCTCCTGCCTCAGCCTCCTGAGTAGCTGGGATTACAGGTGCCCACCATCACGCCTGACTAATTTTTGTATTATTTATTTATTTATGAGATGGAGTCTTGCTCTTGTCACCCAGGCTGGAATGCAATGGTGCAATTTTGGCTCACTGCAACCTCCACCTCCTGGGTTCAAGCAGTTCTCTTGCCTCAGCCTCCAGAGTAGCTGAGATTACAGGTGCCTGGTACCACACCCAGCTAATTTTTGTTTTATTTGTTTGTTCATTGATTGATTGAGATGAAGTCTCACTCTTGTCACCCAGGCTGGAATGCAATGGTACAATCTCGGCTCACTGCTACCTCTGCCTCCTGGCTTCAAGTGATTCTCCTGCTTCAGCCTCCCGAATAGCTGGAACTACAGATGCCTGCCACTATGTTTGGCTAATTTTTGTATTTTTAGTTTTGCCATGTTGGCCAGGCTGGTCTGAAACTCCTGGGCTCAAATGATCCACCCGCCTTGGCCTCCCAAGGTGCTGGGATTACAGGTGTGAGCCACCATGCCCAACCTGGCCCACTTACTTTTATTCTCATTATTTACATAAAGTGTTTAAAGCTATGACCGGGCACAGTGGCTCATGCCTGTAATCCCAACACTTTGAGAGGTTGAGGCAAGAGGATTGCCTGAGCCCAGGAGTTCGAGACCATCCTGGGCTATAGTGAGATCTCGTCTCTACAAATTAATAAAGTAAATTAGCTGGAAGTGGTAACATGTGCCTGTCATCCCAGATACTCGGGAGGCTGAGAAGGGAGGATTGCTTGAGGCCAGGAGGTTGAGGCTGTAGTGAGCTGTGATCATGAGACTGCACTCAGCCTGGGTGACAGAGTGAGATTGTCTCAAAAGAAAAGAAAAGCTATGAATTTCTTGATTGCTGATTTAATTGAATTGTATCAATTCTGCCATTTAACTTTTTTTTTTAGAAATTTTTATTAAAGAAAAAAGCAGAAACAAATGTTAAGAGTTAATAAATGGTGTTTCTCAAAAAAACACCAGATAATCCTCTAGTTTACCTAATCAAGAAAGGACTAGGCCGGGTGCGGTGGCTCACACCTTTAATCCCAGCACTTTGGGAGGCTGAGGCAGGTGGATCACGAGGTCAGGAGTTCAAGACCAGCCTGGCCAACACAGTGAAATCTCATCTTTACTAAAAATACAAAAATTATCTGGGTGTGGTGGCACACGCCTGTAGTAGTCCCAGCTATTCAGGAAGCTGAGGCAGGAAAATCACTTGAACCTGAGAGGCAGAGGTTGTAGTGAGCCAAGACCATGCCATTGTACTCCAGCCTAGGTGACAGAAAGAGAATCTGTCTAAAAAAAAAAAAGCACTAATATAAAAAGTAAAGAAAGGAAAAAATTGCCATACTAAAAAAGCTCCTGGCCCAGATGGTTTCAGGAGGAAACTATTTAATCTTTTAAAGGCAAGATAATTTCTAATGTTAGATAAATTGTTTTAAAATATATAAAATTAAAGAAACTTTTTTTAATATGAAAATACCACATTGATGTCCAAATCTGAAAAAAATTACACAAAAATCCTGTAAATCTCACATATGAGTATTGATGCAAAAATCCTAAATAAAATACTAGAAAGCAATCTATAGCATACTTTAAAATGATATGGCATGACTGATAGAAAGATGGTTCAATATTAGGAAGTCTGTTTATATAATTCACACATTAATATACCTAAGGCCAAACATGATGATTATCTTCATGCATGATAAGAAGGTCTTTGACAAAATTCAACACCCATTTCTGATTTTGTAAAAAAATACACAAAAAGTAGTATCTTGCTTAATGGGAAAGCACTAAATATTCCCATCAAAGCAAAGAAACAAGACAAGGATACTCACTAACTCCATTACATTTTAACATTGTATTGGAAAGAGCAAAACAATCACCAAAAGAACACAATGAAGGGAATCAGACTTGCAAAAGAAGAGGGATCTTTTTACAGGTGGAAAACAAGAAAATTAAATTAAAACTAATTCAAACAATCCTATGCCTCAGTAAAGTAATAAAATAAGATTAACATAGAAATCAGTTTTCTTTTTTTTTTGAGACGGAGTTTCGCTCTTGTTACCCAGGCTGGAGTGCAATGGCGCGATCTTGGCTCACCGCAACCTCCGCCTCCTGGGTTCAGGCAATTCTCCTGCCTCGGCCTCCTGAGTAGCTGGGATTACAGGCACGCACCACCATATCGTTAATAGAGATGGGGTTTCACCATTTTGACCAGGATGGTCCCGATCTCTTGACCTCGTGATCCACCCGCCTTGCCTCCCAAAGTGCTGGGATTACAGGCTTGAGCCACTGTGCCCGGCCCCAGAAATCAGTTTTTATACACACGGTTACCAGTGACATAACACCAACAAGAATACTTAAGAAGTAGGCAAAACATATGATGAGGAAAACCATAAAATATACCTGAAAAATACAAAAGTAGACTTTATGGTAAAATATCTTTTATTCTTGGATAGATAGACAATTTTAAACAATCCTCAAGTTATATATTTAAAATGATCCTAGTCATGATACCAATAGTTTTTCTGTTTTGTTTTGTTTCTCTAAAGCTAGACAAGTTGATTTTAAAGTTAACATGAAGAAATAAGGAGAGGAATATTTCCAAAAAAGGGCAATGGAGGGATACCATAAATCCTGTATGGGCCAGGTGCAGTGGCTCATCCCTGTAATCGCAGCAGTTTGGGAGGCTGAAGTGGGTGGATCACTTGAGGCCAAGAGTTCAAAACTGGCCTGGCCAATATGGCAAAATTGTCTCTACAAAAAGTACAAAAATTAGCTGGGTATGGTGGCCCACACCTGTAGTCCCAGCTACTTGGGAGACTGAAGTGGCAGGACTGCTTGAGCCCAGGAGGTGGAGGTTGCAGTGAGCAGAGATCATGCTACTGAACTTCCAGCCTGGGCGACAGAGCAAGGCTGTCTAAAAAAAAAAAAAAAAAAAGAATCTTGTATAATTAAAACAATGTAGTACTGTGTAGTATTAGTGCATCAGACAGATCAATGGATCAGAAAGACCATAAGTAGGCCCAAACATATGTAAAGTTTTAGCATATGATTTAAGTGGCATCTCAAATTACTGAGGAAAAAGAATCCTTCCTTCCTTTTTTCCTTCCTTCCTTCCCTTTCCTTCCTTCCTTCCCTCCCTCCTTCCTTCCCTCCCTCCCTCCTTCCTTCCTTCCCTTTCTTTCTGTTTTTCTTTCTTTCCTTCCTTCCTTCCTTTCCTCCCTTTCTTTCTTCCTTCCCTCCCTCCCTTCCTCCCTCCTTTTCTTTCTTCTTTCTTTCTCTTTCTCTCTCTCTTTCTTTCTTTCTCAGAGACAGGATTTTGCTTTTTTACCCAGGCTGAAGTGCAGTGGTGTGATCATAGCTCACTGCAGCTTCAAATCCCTAAGCTCAAGCAATCCTCTCACCTCAGCCTCCTGAGTAGCTACAACTACAGGGATGTACCACCACTCTTGGCTAATTTTTCAAACTTTTTTTTGTAGAGATGGCTTTCACTATGTTGCCCACGTTGATCTTGAACTCCTGGCCTCAAGGAATCCTCCCACCTTGGCCTCCCAAAGTGCTGGGATTACAGGCATGAGATACTGCACCTTGCCAATATGATGTTTTTAATAAATAGAGTTGGATATATGGATATTTGTTTGGAAGGAAACTTGGGTTTATACTTTATATACCATAATAAACTCCAAAAAGGTCAGAGATCTAAATGTGAGAAATGAAACCCTGTAAAATACCAGATGAAAACACAGGTAAATTTCCTTATAACCTGGGGTGGAGAAAAGCCTTAAAATGCAAACACAGGAAAAGACTGATACATTTTGACTATATATAAAAATAGATAACTTTTGCATGGCAAATAAAACACACCATAATCGAAGTTAAAAAGGGAATGACAAACTGGAGATATATATTTGCAACTCATCACCAACAAACTGCTTATCTTCCCAAAATACAAACTATATAGACCCAGTAATCCCATTTCTAGGAATATGTCCTAATGATACAT